CAAAATTGCAAGCCATATTCCAGATGCACTGACCTAATTACATTTGGCTGCAATTATGAGCATTACTTTCACGGCGAGGTAAACCTCTATCAACTTAAATCACTTGGTAGGTTTCTATATAGATAAGCAAATGTGTTTTTGCGATTATGTTTCATTGGTTTGTTATTTTCATATTTTCAACAGTTTTTTGCGTGTATCATGGTCCGTGTATCAGTTTCGAAGGGTTATTTACTAGGACTAAATTGTCCACAAAATGCTGATATTTTAGAGGCTTGCTTTTTTTATTGTATCACAATGTGGCTAGGATGTTTGGACAGAGGACTAAATATTTTATCTTTATCTGCAACTTCACGGTCAGAATCCCACTTCTAATGCTGTTGAGAGTTGCGTGGTGAAAACTAAAGTTCGTTTTGAATGTTAATTGCTTTTTATGATGAATGACCATGTAAAATCAAATTCATCTTCCTTCACTTTATCAATATATCGTAGTGAGTAGATTTGCAATCAGTTGAATACAAAAATTCGTTATCTGCACCTAAAGTAATCTGGCTAGCAATAGCTGCAAGAAAAATTAGTTCCTAGCGAGAAAATCGTATTTTTTCCCAGATTTTGTTGTAGTTTAATTGTGTTTTGAATCCTATCATTCTGGTGTATGATTTGTTGGTTAATTCTAACTTTTTAACACCTATATTCTTAATTAACATGTAATTTAGACAGGTCATTCTAAGGCACGATTGCATACTAGTGTTTTAATATGGTGGCTTCATTATTAGCACCGATAGGAATACACTAAGTTAACAACCAGACGCCTGTAATTATCATAACTACTATAGCAGAAGACCTTGAACAAAGTGTGTCCAATAAGGTCGCCCGAACAACACGAGCAAGTTGTGAAAACGGTGTTAATTTCGTTTATACAGCAAAAGGAGACCGCGGCCAAAAAAGAGGCCATAAAATCTGGCTTTCATACCTACACTTCAAAGAAGTCTTCGTTATACCTGTACAAATGTGCTTTGTAGACTATTATTTCTCAACATTAACATTTTTTGAAGAATGAAGGCAAAGCTGGTGTGATCTTTGCTATGGTCGCAGTTTCCGTTCGATGTATAGAGCTGGGCTGACCTTGTTTTCGCTACTTGATCATGTTGTCAGTGTGGCTTAGTTGGATGTCATAGCGTCAGACCGTACATTTCCTGATAGCATCATCAAGGAGTCTTGCCATTCTCAACGCCAAACTACTACTCGTCGAAGACACAAATTAAGTTAATCCCTTGATCAACTTTTCGCCAAAACGGCTGTGCTATCCTCTTTTTGTCCCGGTTCATTTACATAGTTCCTATTCTATTGTCATATTTCCGTCCCATCACAAATTCCACTTCTCAAAATGTGTGCTCTTTTTGGCTAGTTTATTATGGTGTTATCACACCTGCAGTTTACCTTGTCCCCGCCCCTGCCCTCCCTCGAATTGCTGATCCAATTCGGGCCGCCTATTCGGATCTTTCTTATGCTCCCGTAGATTCGTTTCTCACCTTCATGGTTGACCGATTTCACGCGGTTCTATTTTTAGTGTACTTTTTACTACAGGCGCTATTTCTCAAGCATTTACATTGCCGTCTTACCGAGCAGAGTACCTATGCTCTGATTCCCATGTTTGCATATATAAGGCATTTCTTTCAAGGGTCGTCTCCTTTATTAAACCCATGTACCCTGAGCAAACTGTGGAAGTCTATCTCTGGCCGCCTGCTACATCTCAAATGGATTTCTAGTCAATTTGGCCATAATGCCGATATTCCGTGACTATTGTGATTATTTGACTGCAGGGCCCCCACCGTTATAGTTGTTTCGTTCAGCCAATCATACTCTTCGCTTGATTTCCTAAACTTCTCCGCCCGCTTCCTCCCTGCAATCCACTTCCTTTGGTTAATGATAGGTTCTTGGTCCAGGCGTCTCCTTTTTGCTAGTCTTGCTGAATTCTTATTTTCTCCGAGTTTACTTAAGCAATAGGCAAAGTTATCACCAGATATGAAGGCCAAGATTGATCAATTTTATATTTATTCGCCCCTATTTTTTGTTCTACTTTCTAGTGATGCATCTCTTTCTCTCAACCCCACTTCATATGGCCTATTAATTTATTCACACAATTATGTGTTCTCGTTTACTCCAATGTCGCCTAAGAGTGTGTGGCTACAAGTGGGTTTATTGAAGCTTACTTATCTCCACCACCGATAGCAAGTGCCGTATGGAGAGCTCCTGACCTTCATTCATCCTTCTTTTCTCCTACCCTCCTTGCCAATTAGTCACTGATATGCATCAAAATCACTGTCTGACAGGAGGGGTGTATTGAATAAAGGTCAAGAGCCCTGTAAATAGAACCTGGTGCCAGTGGTGGAGATGATTACGCTTGAATAACCCAACTGTAGCGACACACTTTTGGTCGGCATTTGAGGAAATGAGAGCGCTGAATAGTATGAATTGGTAAGTGGGCCATATTAAGTGGGGTTGATTGAAAGAGATGCAGCACTGGAAGGTAGAACAAAAATAAGGGCTAGGAGTGATGCCACCACGGTTTAATAGAAAATTGGTCAAAGGGATTGTCTTCATTTGTAACTTTGATAAGTTGTAACTCTGTCCTAACGATGGTGCCTTTCACAGACGATAGCGTCAAAACGTCTCGGAATGTACTAAGTCAATAGTCTAATCCCGGAAATCACGAAACTATGGCAAGTATGCTCCATAAAGTCTCCCTAATGATTCCATCAAGTCGCAAAAACGAGGTCGAACCAACAATATAAAGTTATCGCTAACTCTGTCAATCTTCTGTTCCTTGCTTTTTTCCCCAAGGATGTCAATGGCCTTCCTAATCTTCCATTTCTTTGTGCTGTCACCATATGGGGCCCTTCTTTCTGTTTTCCTCCAATTGATCTCTTGTCCTGTCTGTGCGTCTTGTTCCGTTACCTTAGATCTTTCGGCATCTATTTTCCTGCAGAGTCTTTAATGTTATTTGATACTTATACTGATTTTTCTCCCTGCTTCGCCATTATATTTATTGTCGCAGGCGCCGCATGCTATGCAGTAAAATCATGAGCAATCCAATCTATTTACCCTTTCGTGTTGCGTTGGTAGACTTGTAAAGAGCGTTGTTCTTTCCTTCATAGTCACCTGAATATTCCATTTCCGTATTTTTTGAGCTAACTCACAGGAAAGGAGGTATATCCACTTTAGTGAGTTTCTCAATCCTTGTTATACTTTCATGCTCTCAATCCTACCATCGGCTTATCACAGTCAGTATGTTTCTTTGTATTGCTTTTATTGGGTAACCGTTGACGAGGCATATCCGAGTTCATTTGTCTAATTCTTGATCCCTGACCTTCACGTCCGTTAATTGTAGGCTTTTTATGTTCATGATCCTCACTATTCATATCTATAGCCTTTAGTTGTGATTTGAATGGAAATTGAGTATTATTCCGACATAAGATCTCTTTCTGAACAATTTCCACTTCACTGTTCCATTAGAGTGAGTTGCCCTCGTATCCAGGTTAGGTAACCGCTTCTCTTCTTTTTCTTCCATTGTGAATTTGATTCCTTCAAGAATCTAGTTCATAAAAGTGGGTTGACCTCGTTGTCGCAACTTGGTCTTGTTGTCAGGGGGACTTAGTAGAACTCACCTAGTCCAAAGTCGTCTGCCATAGTAGTTGTCATGATTCACATCATCAGACAGTGGACTTGCTACATTCTCAAACGTTTCGCCGGCATCATCAGTGAGTACCATTCTCCGTACCAAGCTACAACTTGTCAAAAGAGAATAAATAGGATGAGGATTGAGGCCAGAACGATTGAACCAAAGGGGATTGCTTGCGCTTGTTACTTTGATAAGTTGGATAAGAGGGTAAAGAGTAGATAGATAGGCCACGACAGAAAGAGGAGTGATAGTGTAACCATTTTCATCAGAACGTTTTTCGAGGGATTGACTTCACTTGTCTCTTTGACGATTTGTAGCTTGGTGCGAAGAATGGCAAAACTTACTGATAATGCCGACTACGATGCCGGCGAAACTTTTGAGAATGTAACAAGTCCACTGTCTGATGCTGAGAATCATGACAACTACTATGGCATACGACTTCGGACTAGGTGCGTTCTACTAAGTCCCCCTGACAATAATACGAGGTCAACCAACTTCTACAAATCGAAAGGAGACTGCGACTTAACCAGAGGTCACAACATTTTGGTCTTCATATCTTCAATTAGACTAGTTCATAAACTTCATAAACTCTTCCATATTACCAGAGTGCCATGAAGTCGTATGTGTACCGCATTAACTGCGGTTAAGTTCTCTTCTAATTTGTTCATCTATTGATTTTTCAAAAGAGGTGAGAGCGGCGGCCCCTTAGGAAGTTCTAATATTTGTTTATAGATGTTCCCAGTGAATGTGATTTAGGTTGTCCTTATTGCTAAGTTGATTTGTCGTGTTAAAGACTCTTGCGATCCTTCCCGCTTTCAGGGTATTCTCTTCTCGGTCCAAGATTTTCAACCTGGTCGTTAATGCCTTTTCTCTGGAGATGTATATATTCACGGATTGTACATCAAAGTTTTTTTCTTCCAGTGCTATGTATTTGATCTTGTGAGGAAATTCAAATCAATGCTTTACCATGTTTAATAACCTGCTCTTTAATTTCTTGAGTTTCAAGTATAACAGTAGATATGAAGACCAAAATGGTGTGGCCTTTTGTTTGGTCACAGTATCCTTTAGCTTTATAGTGTTGGTTTGATCTTGTTTTCGCAACTTGGTCGGAGCTTCAGGGAGCCTTGTGGAACATATCTTGTCTCGTGTCCTCTGCCATAGCATTTGGGCTTTCCAGCATTTGACCATTTGCTGTGTACATTCCCAAACGTTTCGCCGGCATCGTAGTCGACATCGTCAATGAGAGGCTCCATCGTAAGCACAGAATTACAACTTATCAAAGTAGTAAGTAAATACAATCCCCTTGACCAATACAGAAAGATCAGCGATAACTAAACACTTCGCCATTACTGGCCACACGATTGATTGGAATGCAACGGAAAGACTGCTCTAATATAGGGATAACGCCAGGGAATAGGAAATCAGGGAGGCTGTAGGCATCCTCTTCCAAATAAACCTGATGAACAGGAGATTCAATTGGACAAAAGGTAAGCGGTGAATTCTCACACCAGCAGTTATGACTCAAGCCGGACTTACGGCTCCAAAGAATGAGGCACACTGTGGGTGAGCATTAAGGAGAGGATAATTGAGTCAGGAGTTAGAAGCCTAGGGAGAGGACGTTATCGAGGACGGGAATGGAAGGCTCTTAGACAGCCAGATTTCAGGCAGCCAAACAGTTACCTTGATGTTGGAGTATCTTTCATTTCGTTTAAAGAGGCGAGTGGAAGAGATTCGT